TCCTCCCCCCCCCTCTCTCCTTTTTTCTGTGTTTCTTTTGACGAGAACTTACACCGCCCCCCGCCCCCCTCTCTGGCGCTACGAGTCGTCGACGCGTGGAAAGACGCCCAATCGGGCGGGTCGGAAGACGATCGACAGGCTTGCGAGGTCTGAGACATTTGACAGCGTCACTCACGACTGGGCTTGTGATTCCCTCTCCCCCATCTGGGCGTCAGGCCGGGTGGGTGTCTATTTGGTAGTTTTTTTCTAATAAACTCTGGCGGGTTGGGCGCTGACCTGTATCATGACGCAAAGAGAGCAACAAGAATCCGTGGCTTGCACCTTAACTGAATCGAGTCGAAGTCGCAACCAAAGCGAAAAAATGGCGGAAGGGGTAAGGTAGAAAATGCATGCATTCATGCTCGTACATTCCGAAACATCTATGTACAGAAATGCCCTGATACGACTTCCCCATGCGACACCCTCGCCATATCTATCAGCAGCCAACACTGTGGTACTCAAGGTCCCGCACGCGAATTACAATCAGAAAGGTTTGCAGGCAATCAAGGATCAGTCGTCATCGTACGACAACTGCCGACCGTTGCTCGTAAAAGGTGCCTCGTGCGTATGTAGCCGCAGATCGAGATGATCATGAGGCGGGCATATCTGGCGAACCAATGCGTGTTGGAAAGAAGCAGAACCCCCTCCAATGCTGCCAAACAGGTGTCGTGGTCTTTTGGTGCAGTCCAACAGTAAAGAAGTATGACAAAAAAGGAAAATCGTAAAGAATGAGTGTTACGGCCGTCGTGTGTCGTCTTGCCGAGAGCGATGCTTTCTATCGTGCTGAGACAGACAACTCTGGTCGCCGCGAGGCGACCAAGGCCGGGTATCCATTGTTGGGCCGGGCCAGCATCTGCTGCCGGTATCCAGGCGTAGCCCCATCTAATTCCATAGCTAGGCAGTCGTATCGAGTCGCTCATAGACGCCTCTCTTCCTCTCCTCTCTCATGCGCGCGCGCCGTCGTACTGTCCAATACCCCACGTCGTCGTGAGCCGATGAAAACAGTCTACCGCTGCTGAACCTCAGCAACACTGACGCTGGTGCCCCAGTCTTGCCTCGCGCCCTGGGCCTTGCCAACGGAGTTGAAGCCCGCAAGGCTGGAGATGCGCCGGCTCAACCTCTTCTCCTTGAGAGGCGTAGAGGTGACGGGGGCGCCAGCGGGCTCGGCGGTGTGAAGGGCATTGATGCGGCCCGAGTCGGAGGTGGAAGTGGAGGAGCCAGTCGAGTTGGGGGTCTGGTAGACATACTCGCCATCAACATAGACGGCACTCGACTGGAAGGTGGAGCGACGGTTGCGACGGCGGGTGTAGCGCTGCTCGAGGCGGAAGAGCTCAATCTTCTGCTGGATGGAGGCCTGGAGGCGGTCGATGAGTCCACCGGGCGACATTGTGACGGTAGATAGGGCGGTAGGATGATTTGAAAGCAACTGGGTGGATGGTAGTTCTACTGCTTTGAGCTGCACAGAAGCGTATAATGTGTCGGGCTGATGCGGAATTTGCGGTGGTTATGAGGATTCGACGTCTGAACTCCTTTTTTTTCGTGTGTGGAATGATCCGGGCGATCCTCGAGACAGACGATGGGACGAATGGGGCAAGCAAGACGAGATTGGGAGTTTCACAAGGCGGGCGTGATGTTGTAGGATGATTCGAGCAGGCTGTGTTGTGTATGCGTGGCCGGTATTAATGAGTGATGTTATAGTTGGGGTTGCGCGTGGCTGTGTATAAGAGAGAGGAACGAGTTCAAAACGCCTGGTTCTGGGAACTCTAGTGACGCTGTTGTTGAGAGGCTTCGCAAGCTTTCTCGAGTCGATATTCCAGGTGGTTGGTGTGCGGTTGAGCAATGAGGAGACGCAAACGGGGGACGGGGGGAGGGGTGAAATGGAAAGAGTGGCACGGAGGGTTCGAGGCGATGGGGGAGGACAAGGAGGAAAAGGAAGGACTGGGAAGGAGAGGTGGAAGAAGCTCATGCTGCTGCTGGGCGCAGGAGCCATGGAACTTGCCTGGTGCTGGTGTGGGTGTGGTTCCTGCACCTGCACCAGCACCTCAAGCAGCATAGGCCGAGGACAACCAATTGGCCCTCGAGTGATCCTTCCCTCCCAATGGTGCCCCATGCTCTCCAAACAGGGGGAAACGGGGGGATTGACAGGGGACGACTCGTGCAATTGTACCGAAAGGCCCAAGAGCCCCCACCAGGAGCGCTCTGATTAGTCGGGACCTCGGCCTGGACCCCCGTCTGGTGTGTCCCGCTTTCCTGGTTTGGTTTTTGCGCCATGTGGCTGCTCGAGTCCGTTGCCATATCTGCAGCACTAGCAAAGAGCCATCGAGCTGCTCAGGGGCATCTCGTATCACGACATGGGCCGCCTGAAGGGTTGCACCGATCGAATGGGTTTTCCAGAATGCTTGTGTGTTTTTTTTGTTCTTTCCTTTCAGCAGTAAGATGCAAGATGCACTGATGGAAGCGATGCGTCTGGCTACTTCATGCTATGGCATGTGGGTAGATGTCGCATGCTGCCGCTCTGGGCTATTATGTTCATTCGCCTTGCGAAGGCAGAAAAAGCCTGACAGCTCCTCCTCTCCTACCTGTCAGTCAATGCATGGTACAGAATGACCAGGGCAGACAGCTCGTCGTCAGGGACAGCAGTCGAGAGAGTTGGGTGGCGTCAGGGGTCGATTACCTGCTGCAGACCTGCCTGCAGGGGCTTGTGGGTGGCGACGGCGCAGCGAACGGCGTTGATGGCTAAACCCTAGCTCTTAACCGACATTATCTTAAAAGGTACCCAGCCACAGCGAGGAAGCCCCCGACTGATCTTGGCAAACTGCGCGGGAGCGCCCCGCTACCTGGCTTTTCTACTAGGTACAGTAAGCTGGCACTTTGCGTTATTGCCTCCCCAATCCAGCGCGGGAGTCTGTTGAGGCTCTAGAACACCATCTCATAGCCCTGACAGGTGCTGATCGACATGAGCGCTGTCGTGTTTTTCTCCCCTTACCAGGCCGGGCCGAACAGGTTCGACAGACTGATCTCGACCCGCGCCAGGTGCTGCAAGACATCGGACGATCTAGCCCTAGCAACCATGCCAGCTAGCGAGAGAATTTGGGAAGTCGGCAGCAAGGTCTGTGGTCATTTCAGAGCTGGAAGCAATTTGCTACAATCAGTAGGAAT